TTCATGTTCTGATAGAAAAAGTGAAGAAAAAGAAAGTGTAGGGTCAAGGTTAGCAGAGTAATTAAGCTGAGACATGGGGATAAATTCTTTTGTTAGATTATTAATAAACCGTTAAAGAAAGCCCAAGAATATATTAGGAATAGATAATTATGTTACGGGAAGATGGATTGGGTGGATATTGGTAGTTATAGATCTAGACAGGATAATGAGCAAATATATAATACAATGTCAATAATGCATTGTATACGGAGAACCAGGAAGAACAACCCTGTGGCTTTCTCATCCAATCAGATATATAAACATCTAGGTTCTAGCTTTAATCAACCAGGAGGAGGGATTCTATTCAATCCGTATACAGAGGATAACACAGGAAAAGATAGGGAGAATCTCGGATATAAAAAGATTGTCCGAGGTTTGAGAACAAACTCAGAAAAAAAAGATAACGGACACACTAAAAAAGATACACTGGTGGCAAAAGGATGAATTAACATATTCAATTTCAATGAAAGGAACTGAGGTTTTGCCACAAACTCAAGTTTTCTAATTCCTATATCTTTGCAACCAAATTGAGATAGAAACACTGAGATCTTTGTCCTTGTTGATTAGTCAAAGGTTTAAAGGGTACCATTGTGAATCGGAAACTGCTTTTTCTGCATGAAAGGTTACTTAAAGTTATGCTTACAGTCCCTTTAAGTAGAAAACCACTGAAAAGGTTGCAGAGAAGATTGGTCCTACATGAGAGCTGCAGTAACCGTACCAATATCAATAACAGTAGTAATACCAGTAGCAATGTCATAAAAGATTTTCTATTCTACAAATTACATTTATTACTAATACAGTACAGTACAGTACATGCAGTACATTACAGTACAGAACAGTGCGGTACATTTATTGTTCAGTGCAATACTCGTCAGGATAATACAATACAGTGGTGCTAAGTACTTCTGAATTAATTTGAAAAATGAAATATGTTTAAAATTGAACCAGTAGTAACTAGTAAGTTAAAGGTTATGAAGTATGTAGATTAATATTAATATTAATGTTAATGATAACTCATCTAAAAGATGAAAAGGTAATATCATTAAAGACTTATATTCTCTTTTCTTCTCTTTTTAACCTTAATGATGGATGGAGGTAGAAGTATTGGATAGAAACTAGGAGACTAGTATAGATATTAACTTTGTAACCTACTCGGAGGTTAGATACTAGGTTAACCAGGTTTACTAGGTTTACTAGGTTTACCAGGTTTACCAGGTTTACCAGGTTTACCAGCTTTACCAGCTTTACCAGGTTTACCAGGTTTATTAGGTTTACCAAATTTATCAGCTTTAACAGGTTTACTAGGCTTACCAGGTTTACCAGGTTTGCCAGGTTTACCAGTTTTACCAGGTTTACCAGGTTTATCAGGTTTACCAGGTTTACCAGGTTTACCAGGTTTACCAAGTTTAACAGATTTAACAGATTTACCGGGTTTGCCAGGTTTAGCATGTTTACTTGGTTTACTAGGTTTAACAGGTTTACCAGGTTTACAAGGTTTACCATGTTTACCATGTTTACCAGGTTTACCAGGTTTACCAGGTTTACCATGTTCACCATGTTTACCAGGTTAACCAGGTTTACTTGATATGAACATAAATTATTTAAGAACATTTAATATTTTTTTCTGTTGATAAATATTAAATATTAATATTAATAATATTGTTATAATGATGTGTGAGAATAAACAGAATTTAGAGCAAACACATGCTTATCATCTTCAAGACTTCTTCAGTTACTTAGGATGTAATATATAGACTAAACAAACTTAGAGGACAATGTTGATTCTATACTTTGGTTTCTCAACAACTAGTTTATTGGTTCAGATACACTGACAGTACCTAGAGACAGGTTGAAGAAGATCTACAGAGAAACTAGGAACCTGGAGTAGGTTGTATTAGATTAAAATGGAAACTAGGAACCTGGAGTAGGTTGGATTAGATTAAAATGAAAACTTGGACCCTGGAGTAGGTTGGATTAGATTAAAATGGAAACTAGGACCCTGGAGTAGGTTGGATTAGATTAAAATGGAAACTAGGAACCTGAAGAGTAGGTTGGATTAGATTAAAATGGAAACTAGGACCCTGGAGTAGATTGGATTAGATTAAAATGGAAACTAGGAACCTGAATTAGGTTGGATTAGATTAAAATGGAAACTAGGACCCTGGAGTAGGTTGGATTAGATTAAAATGGAAACTAGGAACCTGGAGTTGGTTGGATTAGATTAAAATGGAAACTAGGACCCTGGAGTAAGTTGGACATCAGGTCGCAAATTTATAAGAAAATCATAGAATTTGTGGCAAGTGTTTGGATCCTTTATTTAAATGGAAATCGATACAGAATTAATTTAGAATATTGGTGTAAACTGTGATCTGGACCGGAACGGCGGGGGACCATATCGTAATGGATCTGAAATGGGACCTGGAGCTAGCCTTGGATGTGGCGGAGAGGGCGGAGGAGAGGATATGAACCTTCCACTTTATCCCCCACCACTTGAGACAACCTTAGGGAAGGTTAACATCGTCATTTTTTCAGGTAAAAATTCATTTTTTTGCAATTATACACTGTTTCAATTTCAAGTGAGCAGCCAAATATAAAGTGGCATAATATCTGAATTAAAATGTTATCATTAAAAGATTTGTTTGATCAAGAAGGAATGGTCATCCATGTTTTAGCTTTCTTTAGTCATAAAAACTACTTGCGAATTTCTGCAGTTCAGTAACCATGAATGCAATTTTGAGAAAAATAACGATTAGTTCCACAAATCTGACAAATCTGAGGCCAAATTTAAAGAATTTTAGCCGCGGCTTAAATTTAAGCCGCGGCTCAAAATGGTTGATTCCACTTAAAATTGTATTGCATATTTCAAGATTTAAGCCGGCGCTCAATTGAAACCGGTTTTTGGCACAAATGCATTAAATTCGGACACTGAACAAAAAAAAGTTTAAATGGTACCGTTGTGAATTGGCCATTCTCCTCTTAAATGGAGGGTTACTAGAATTTACCTTGAAATCTTGTTAACTTCAATAAATCAGACAAGATGGATAAGAAAGGTGGAAAGACCAATGTAAAATACTTTTATTTATTTTCCCCTGAAGGTAAATTTGTTGAACAAACATCACCTTCTTTATAGGGGAAACATACACAGTAAACCTTTTAGGTTTCCTCATTAATTTCATTTAATCAAATCCCAGAGATAATATGATGAAATACATCTTAAATATCATAGCGGGGGGGCCGCACCCCCCCCCCCCCCCCCCCCCCCCCCCCCC